CTTTCCGGGCCTTTCAGCCTCCCTCTTCTAGTGCCATTCTAGAAGCCTCTAGCATTACAGGTTGCAAAGTTTTAGTCCCTGGTGTGAAAACAAAGTTGCAAGCCTACATACCTGCTTAATGGAAGTTACCAGTCCATACGTCCAACTGTGAGCTAGGAGTGTCGAGTAAAGGCTGCCATCATATCAGAAGGATTATATGGTTTTAGAATTATTTTAATGTAATTTACCTGTCTAATTTTATGTAAGCCACCCTGAACCGGCCTTGGCTGGGAAGGCGGGGTATTAACTCAAATAAATAAATAAATACGTAGAGGGGGAGCAGTAAATTAACATGCAACATAATGAAGATATTTGACAGCCAGTTTGGTGTAGTGGTTAAGAATCTAATCTGGAGAACCAGGTTTGATTCCCCCCTCCTTCACATGCCGTTCTCTCCTGGCTGTTCTCTCAAGAGCAGTTCTCTCAGAGCTCTCAGCCCCACCTACCTCACAGACTGTCTGTTGTGGGAAGAGGAAAGGAAGGCGATTCTAAGCCCCTCTGAGAATCCTTTGGGTGGTGAAAAGCAAGCTATAAATACTAACTTCTTCTGTTCTTAACAGATTCAAGGACCAAACAGGAAGAACAAGCTTAATTTATATGGCTACCATACACCCAGACAACACAATCACTGACCTAACAACATTAACTACACCATCTCAGGGCTCATTCACTTGCTCATCTTCTAACACTGTATATGCCATTAAATGCCAGCAATGCCCGTTGGTTCTCTACATAGGGCAAACACATCAAATGATATGCCAAAGGATAAAGGGACAAATCTGACATCAAGAATCAAAAGACTGAGAAACCTGTAGGAGATCACTTCCGCCTTCCAGGACATTCAGTGGGTGACCTCAAAGTAGCTGTTTTATTGCAAAGGAGCTTCAGGAACAGACTAGAAAGGGAAACTGCTGAGTTGCAAGTTATTACAACACTCAGAACAATGGAATCCCCAGGACTTAACAGAGATATTGGTTTCTTATCTCACTGTATATGCTAACCTATTCAGTCTTTACACCTGTGTTCTCCTTCAGTGAGGGAGGTCATCCAACCTGATTAGGTAATGCCTCCTCTTGCTCCATGCAGGGCTATGCAAATTTGTGTAGACTGTATTGGCTCAGAGTGAGGCTGACCCTCCAGTATTGATAGCCCTGCTGCTCCAGCAGGACGCTTCAGCCTAGGTCTGCTTTCTTTGAGACTCTTGCCTGATATGGAAGATTGAAAAGCCATGAAGAAACCCATCGTGGGTCTTAAAAGAAGAAAAACGAGACCTTTAAGATAAGCCTCTCCTGCCTGAGGTTCCAGGCACCAGAGACAGGCCAACGACAGAAACATCTACAATGCCACAAACTGCCCTCAGTGAGAGACAGTTGTGGCAGACCTCTCCCACCTGAGGATTCAGGCATCGGAGACTGGCACGGGCCTCTGTCGGTGCTGCCAGACCCAAGGCTTCGGGTTGTTTCTGCAACCGACCCCCAACTGCGCTGGAAAAATCCAGCACAGCTCTACTGGGTCTGAACCCAGAGCTGGTCTCTTGGAGTCTCTTATGCTGTAAGTATGGAAGACGGAAGGGCCTTGAGGCAGGGCCCCATGGCCGGTCTTAGACAGAAGGGGGAGGCCATTGTGGTAAGTCTCGAACTGCCTGAGGATTCAGGCATCGGAGACTGACATGGGCCTGTCAGCGCTGGCAGACCTGAGGCTTTGGATCGTTCCCCAGCCAGCCCTCAACTGTGCTGAAAACACCCAACAGAGATCTTCTGGGCCTGAACCCTGAGCCGGTCTCTTGGAGTCTCTTACCTGTAAGTATGGAAGACAGAAGAGCCCCATTGCTGGTCTTAAAAATGAGGGGAGACCATTGTGGCAGGCCTCTCCCACTTGAGGCTTCAGGCATTGGAGACTGGCATGGGCCTCCGTCGGTGCTCCTAGACCTGAGGCTTCAGGTCATTTCTGCAGCCAACCCCTGGCTGCACTGGAAAAACCCAGCAGAGCTCTATTGGGTCCAGCAACCATGAGGAGATCGCAGTGTCTGGCCTGCCCCATACAGACTCGGAGGCTTGTGGGCCTACAGGGAGTGAGAGGGTTGGAGCTGAAGGTCAGATCCCCCCCCCAGACATAGGGGCAGTGGGATGAGGACCCCCAAGG